CACAATGGCCTGAAAGAAATTCTCAGAAGCTACATATAATTTTTTTATAATTCTTAATTAAAAATTGTGTATTAGAAATAGTTACTAATAAATTTATGCTTGATATTTTTACAAAACAATATTTCTTAAAAAATTTTATTATCCCCCTCCCGACCAAAACCTGCGTATAAAAATAATTGATTCAGACTGATCCTAAGCAAAAAGACCGATCTTTTTTTCTATCAATATTTCTTTTTTTAACCTAATTTAATTCTCCGACTTCTTTGACACTAGTTGGACTGTGGTCTTCAAAAAAAGATTGGATTGGCCCCGATCTAAGACTGATAACTACTGACATTCAGTTTAATGCTTGCTACCTGATTTTTTTTATCTATTCTCCACAATAAACCCTAAAATCAATAGAGGTCAGGGTAATTCATTCTTTCACAAAAAATCATAGCTTTCCCACTTAATTGGTATAAAGGAATTGTGTGACACAACAATAAGAGTAAAAATGGAAAGATATATAAACCAAATAACAAATATCGCGTATATGCGATTGTTTCTACAATAAATGACATCAAATTCTATGGTTTCCTTCCATAGTAATTGTAAAGTAAATTTTAATTGTATAATTTTTTTTAAATGGTCTAAATATTTGGGCAACTATAATAAAATATTCGATATTATTTTATACAAATGTAATCAACACATTTGTGGGAAATCTGCATATATTTGTACACATAATATTCCTAGGGTTATTTAATTTAAAAATATGGCTAATAATGTACCACTTTTTTGAAAATATAGCTACCAATAGTGTGCTACTTTTTCGCCAAGTAGCATTAGCAGGGGAATACTAATTTCAAAAGTAGAGCTTAACAGCACTGCTGGTGGCCTCATTGAAAAGAAAATATCGATAAGTTTATAAACGTTCATTATCTAAACCAACTATTGAATAAGGTTTTTAGCAGAGTTGTTAATCGCTACTTTTAAAAGTAGCGTGCTACAGCTATCGCTATTTGTCAAAAAAAATTAGCCCGTTACCGCTATCGCTATTTGTCAAAAAAAGTAGCTCACTATTAGCTATTATTTTTTGTTTATAATGTTATTTTATAGTAAATATATAAAAATCAACATATAAATATTAAAATATAGTTAGTTTTGATTAATAAAAAAATTTTTGTAATAAAAATAAATATTTATGGTAATTTGTTGCATTTTATAAGTTTTTACCTAGTGTTATGTGTCCAACTATCTACCTTGGTACATATATATAATAACTACTATTAGAGCATTTTTCATCACTTTAAAGTTATCTGCTATTTTATTCATTAGTGTCTGGCGACATAAAATTGTTGTACCAGAGGATAGTTTTAATCATCATGGTTAAAGATGGATTATCAACCAAGGACATTGTCTGAACTGAGCTCCGTGAAGTTGGCAGAACGACTTTAAGTGCAATTAACAAAAATTATGCCATTATTTAGAGCCTTAATTGCACTTCTATCCGGACATCAGCAGAATGAACCGTTCCTGAGTTATGAGCAAAATAAGGAATGTGTGAAATTTTGATGCTGGCAGAACGACTTGAGGTGCAATTAACAAAAGTTACGCCATTATTTAGAGTCTTAATTGCACTTCTATCCGGACATCAGCAGAATGAACCGTTCGTGAGTTATGAGCAAAATAAGAAAGTGTTGGCACTTTGTCAAAACCGAAAATAAAAGAGATCCTTTTTTGAAAATTAACAATAATGTAGTATTTGATTTACTCCTAAATATTCTCATACCCGGATATCCGTATGTATAACCATAACCGAGCTATACCTATTTAAAAAACTTGAAGTTGGCAGAACGACTTGAGGTGCAATTAACAAAAATTATGCCATTATTTAGAGCCTTAATTGCACCAAATTGCACTTCTATCCGGACATCAGCAGAATCAAACGCTCGTGAGTTATGAGCAAAATAAGAAAGTGTTGGCAGTTTGCCAAAACCGAAAATAAATTAGAATACCTTTTGAAACTTGGCAATTAATTAGTTTACAATTTGTGCTTTAATATTCTCAAAACGGGATATCCGTATCATTAACCGCAAGCGAATAATATTTATTTATCTGAGAAGAGTGAAGTAGGCTGAATTATTTATATAAAGTGAGGTGAAATTAGGGATACTTATGCCAATGTGTAGCCCTTTAATTGAACATTAAGAATCTATAAACGGCATATCAGCAGAATTAACGGCTAGTGAGCTATGAGCAAAATAAGAAAGTGTTGGCACTTTGCCAAAACCGAAAATAAATTAGATTACCTTTTGAAACTTGGCATTTATTTAGTATTCAATTTAATATTCTCAAAACGGGATATCCGTATCATTAACCGCAAGCGAGTAATATTTGCTTATTTAAGAAGCGGAAATAGGCGGAATTATTAATAAAAAGTAGTGTTGTAAACGAAGTTCGTTTTTTTGAAAAAAGGTGATGAACGGCGTTCCTTTTCTTTGATGAACGCGTTCAATTTTACGTTCGTTCAATTTTAAAAACACTTTTTATTTTTATTTATTTGAAAAATTAATATTAATCCGCATTTTTTAACAAAAAAGTCTTATATTTTTATTTATTTGAAAAATTAATATTTAATCCAATTTTTAACAAAAAAGTCTTGTATTTTTTAATCAGCTGTTTTTACTTTTTCCTCTTTCATATTGCAATTAACGTACCATAGTGCTACTGCTAGAGAAGATAAGATTAAAGTTTATTAATTTGAATATTTTATATTTTAATTTAATAGATTAGCATTTGCATGGATATAAATATTTCATCATCAGATTCTGAAAATCAAAATTCAATATTAGATGAATTAGAATTACCATGGCCCAAATATCAAAAATATTTCACTGTTTTAAAATCAATTCCGAGATATCCTTTTTTTTTGACGAGGAAGAAGAGGGCAGATTGGAGGATGATAACATAGCTCAATTTTTTGAAACAATGGATAAAACATTAAATGTTTTTAATAAATTCCCCCTTTTAATATTTATCAAGTATAACACCGCAATCCCTTCATCTGCCCCTGTTGAGCGAGTTTTTAGTATAGCTAACGCTGTATTAACTGACAAGCGTTCATGCCTATCAGATGAAAATTTTGAAAAGCAATTATTATTAAAAATTAATAAGAAAATTTTTTTATAAATTTATTTTTTTATCGCTCTATTATATTGTATTTATAATTATATTATCAAAATAAAACTATTATTTTTTATCATGGCTAATATATTGTGTTGAAAAATATAAGGCATTTATTTATATCAAATTAAATTTAAAAAAAAATTTATCATAAAATTTTGAACGTATGAACGCGTTCATGAACTTGAACGCGTTCCTTTTTTTGAATTTGAACGTGAACGCGTTCGATTTTTGTCAATGAACGTTGAACGCGTTCGATTTTTTTAAAAATGTTTACAGCACTAATAAAAAGTAAGGTGCAATTAGCGTTACATATGCCAATGTGTAGCCCTTTATTGAACATTAAGAATCTTTAAACGGCATATTAGCAGAATTAACGGCTAGTGAGTTATGAGCAAAATAATAAAGTGTTGGCACTTTGCCAAAACCGAAAAAAATTAAGAATAATTTTTGAAACTTGACAATTATTTAGTATTCAATTTGTGCTTTAATATTTTCAAAACGAGATATCCGTATCATTAACCCCAACCGAGTTATATTTATTTATTTGAGAAGCGGAAATAAGCGGAATTCTTTGTAAATGTGAGGTGCAATTAGCGATACATATGCCAAGTAGCCCTTTAATTGAACATTAAGAATCTTTAAACGGCATATCAGCAGAATTAACGGCTAGTGAGTTATGAGCAAATTAATAAAGTGTTGACACTTTGCCAAAACTGAAAATAAATAAGAATAACTTACGAAACGAATCTTCTAATTTATAGTTTTTTACGTAAACTTATTACAAATCTTATTGCTTTTCTTCAATTACTTAGTTTACAATTTGTGCTTAAACGGGATATCCGTATCACTAATAGTAACCGAGTTAAATCTCAAATTTTGAAATTAAGAATAGTTAAAATTTCTATTATTCATCTGTCCTCCGTTAGAAGTACTTTAATCAGTTTAGCAGCCAAAATTAAAATATTAATAGGTAAATAAAAAATGGCGTCACAACTAAGACAAAATCAAGAATAACGACATACATCTTTTGCCATTATTTTATGAATTACTATTAAATTTTTATAATTTGAAAATCTAGGCAGCGACACACATATTTTATTATTTATCTCTGATACCAGTAATATAAAATTTAAATAGGTACATTGGCCTTTATGACTTTTGTACTAGTCGCTTTATTATTTAATTCGCCAAAAATTTCATAGGTAAGATATAATATATATTTACATAATGTGAACAATGTAGATTATATTAATCACAATAATAAAGAATAATTTGTTATAATTGCGGTATATATATTTATTTAGTCAGACATGATGTCGTTTTAATTATAATTTATGTAAATTTAAGCGTTTAAGTTACGCTATTACTAAATATCACCCAGGCTATCTAAGATTATATATTATTTATATGAATTTGTATGAGATATATAGCGTTTGAATTTCACTAAAATGTTTTAGGTTTAAGCACATGATTGAATCCCTCGAGCTAGTTATTAGTGTTAGGCCCATCTACATGATACCTAAATTAAATATTGAAAAATATTAATGATTATAATTATTTCAAGTTTTTATACCTTTTCCATATAGTATGAGCGAATAATGCAGTTTCACTTAGCCACGTGAGGAATAGATTTTGAGTTTCAATAGAAGCATCTTAAATACTTTAGATTAAAATATTTAAAAAATTAACCTTTCACTATATTTGAAAATAAATTCTAAGAGCAGATATAGCAGTCGCGTTTTATTGCCAGAAGCACCAAAATTTTTGATATTGAGAAAAAGTTGAATATATATCTCCCTTGTATATAACTGGTATCATTACATTTTCATACATTATTCACAATGTATAGAGCTGAACATATAATCTAGGAACTATACAGAAATTTCCGTCCATACATATTGTTGAAGCGGATGACATCAATTTTAGCATTATCAAAAATCAATATTCTACTATTTTCAGTTGGGAATATTTGAGTTCTTGAGTTTTTTGTATAGATGGGGTTCAAATTATATCATGAATATGGGGCATGGAAGGCCTATATTTTTTTCAGGAGCCTATCAATATGATGACCCCCTAATTTATATAAATGGGGGAATTGCTTCGGGATAATTTTAAATATAGAGTTTCTAAACATCTTATTTAAATACTTTTGGGATATATATTCATTCGCGTTTCAACTGGTTTTGAGGAATAGATTTTTCTATAGACTATTTCGTTTTTAAGAGCTCAAAATAAATAACATTAGGGTGTGTTCATGTATACCTGATGAATTATAAGTGTGATCATATTTACATTTTGCAATACAGCCTGATTTCCTGAAACAGTAATGAAAATTTCCAACTTTTCATAATGAAATCTGAATGGCTTATTTTGATAAAAAAGGAAATTTTGCCTATTGGCATATTGGACCTTTAATAATATATATATATATTTATATTAATATTTTAGATTGTTACCATAAATGTTTTGATTTATTCAAGCATAGCATTCAATAAAAGTATTTAATTACCGTCTACATTAAACAATACATTTATTGGGCTATATACAAATGGAGCATCTTTAAAAATAAATAATATAATAATTTATTTACCCTATGGTGTCAGCAGAAGAGGCCCTGACCCTATCTGAGAGGGAATTGCAAGGTGATGAAATGGGATTGGCTATAAAAAATTTTAATTGCTTCCAAATAGTTATTTAATTACATTTTAATGGAATAGGAGGTTGAACGAGGTATTGTTGCAGCTTGAAAATTTGAAAATAAAATAATTTATTTTAATAATTTATTTACCCTCTGTTGTCCGCAGAACAGGCCTTGACTCTATCTGAGGGTGAATTTGTTTTTAGAACAGCCTTACCCTATCTGAGGGTGAATTATAAGGTGATGTAAATGAGATTGGATATAAAAAAATTTAATTGCTTCCATATAATTTTTTAATTACATTTTAATGGAATGGGAGGTTGGACTATGTATTGTTGCAGCTTGAAAATTTTAAAATAATGTAATTTATTTTAATAATTTATTTACCCTCTGTTGTCAGCAGAACAGGCCTTGACCCTATCTGAGGGTGAATTTGTTTTTAGCAGAACAGCCCTGGCCCTATCTGAGGGTGAATTACAAGGTGATATGGGATTGGCTATAAAAAAATTTAATTGCTTCCATATAATTATTTAATCACATTTTAATGGAATGGGAGGTTGGACTAGGTATTGTTGCAGCTTGAAAATTTTAAAATAATGTAATTTATTTTAATAATTTATTTACCCTCTGTTGTCAGCAGAACAGGCCTTGACCCTATCTGAGGGTGAATTTGTTTTTAGAACAGCCTTACCCTATCTGAGGGTGGATTACAAGGTGATGTAAATGGGATTGGCTATAAAAAATTTTAATTGCTTCCATATAATTATTTAATTACATTTTAATGGAATGGGAGGTTGGACTAAGTATTGTTGCAGCTTGAAAATTTTAAAATAACGTAATTTATTTTAATAATATTTACCCTCTGTTGTCAGCAGAACAGGCCTTGACCCTATCTGAGGGTGAATCTGCAAGATGTAAATGATGTTTTTTTTTCGATTTTGAATATGGCGATTTAGTGGTTATACTTTCATATTTATAATTTATAATTTATTCTTTTTTTTTTTTTTTTTTTTTTTTGCTTTTGTTTTTTTCTTTTTTTTTGCTTTTTTAGTATTTTTGCTATTTTTTTTCTTTTTTTTGTTTTTTTTAGCTTTTTTTAAATTTTTTTTTTGTTTTTTGCTTTTTTGTAAACAGTGTTCAGGTGAGGTGTTAAGGATTAAAAGAATATATACTATATATATATAATTTATGTGTGAATTATATATCTTAAAATAAAATTGCATAATATTAATAAAAGACTTAATGATATAAAAATTGAAGAAGTGCTAAATTAAATTTAGTATATAGAATTCGACCAGTAAAAATATATTCTTTGAAAGTCATATGAATGTGCAAACAATCTATATATAATCCTAGATTTATACATATAAAACAATTAATATATCCAGCAACTACATGAATAGGGGTGGGAGGGGGGGGGGGGAGTGTAAGTACATTTTGCCTAATTTTTATAAGGGGGGTAGGAGGGTAGGCACTTTTAAGGGGGCATGATAAATTTTTTATGGATAGGGTAAAATATATTGCTGTATTGCTAATCATCAATTGCATCCATTGTAAATCCTGTCATGTAGACGCTGAATATATCTAATATAGCAGTACCCATGTGAATTATTTATTTTTATTCCCTATTGGCTACCAGAAGAAATGATAACTTTTAATATCGTCAACATGTGTCATTAAATATTTTCATAAAATTGACTTAAATATACTATCTATATAAAAAAAATTTAACAAAATATAACAAGTTAAATAAATTTAAAAAATTTTTAATCATTTTTTCCTAAATACTTTTTTTATGTATTATAAAAATATAAAGAATAATCCCACCAGCCCTGAATCTACTAGCGATAGTTAATATAATTTATATATTCTAATGAAATATTAAAATATATATAACCAGGAACGATAACCCGAAACCTCCCTAACCCCAATATTCCGTTGAACGGGTTCAGGGTTTAAACTTTTTTAAAAAAAGATATAAACTTTCATTTTATTTATGTTAAATTTATATGTTAAAAATTATAAAAGCAATTTACGATTTTAATTTAAAAGATTTCCTATTTAAAATGATTTTTTATTTAAAAAGATATTCTTATCTAAACAGATTTTCTATTTTAAAAGATTTCTTATTTAAAAGGGTTCCTATTTAAAATATTTTTTTTTTATTCAAAATAAAATATTAATTTTAAAAAAACCTGAACCGTGTTGAGATTTTTAACTAAACTCAAACCCAAGAACCCATTTTTTTTAGCAGGAGGGTTCGCATCCCTGTATATAACTTGAAAATTTTCTGATGTGCGAAAAGAGGGTCTTAAGTTTCATATAATGTCAATAATATTTTTTTTGAGGTTAGGTAAACCCCGGGGCTTGGCAAACCACTTATCTCATTTTAAAATTTTATACACCAGAAGGGTAAAATTTTATCCCAATATATTTTTCATTAGTATACATATATGAACAAAATATATGTTGAAATATATAATTATTAAATATTTTATTAAGAAATAAAATTTTGATGAAATTTTCAAAAGGTTAATTAAATTTTATTGCAAAGTTTAAACATTCTTCTATAATCTGGGTAAGTTTTATGAATATTTATCAAATCTAGATATTATTTCAATCACGATTTGTCAATTTAGAGCTAGCGGGGTTTGCTAAACAATACACGTCAATTATGGCAGTTAGTAATGAAAAAATTTCAAAATCTTGAAAAGGCAATTTCATGGTTGTTTATGATTGGTATTTAGGATTTATGCTAAAAAATCTTAATTTCTCTTTAAAATTCAAATTTTTTTATGTCAAAAATGTTTATTAAATAAGCCAAAATTAAGTTTCAATTTTTATATATAATTAGCTTCAATTTATAAGTATTATGATATTTTGAACAATAAAACAATAAAATTATTCTATACATATGATTATTAATAAATAAAATGCTTTTCAATTTAATATGGCCTAAAAAAACCAATGGTTTAGGAAGCCCCTTGAAGTGGTTTGCCTCACCCCGCTATTGGGGCTTGTTGAACAAAATTTTCACTTTAACAAAAAATAAAATTTAAAAATAATGATTATATTCTTAAGATTTTTTATAAGGCACCTTTATAGAGTATAGTTTTAGGTATCCAATCATATATTTTTATATTATCTATAAAAGAACAAGAGCTATAGCCAATTTTGTAAAAATTAGTTCGACCAACCCCAGTCTCCCTTATATATTATACAATACTATTATATTTATATTTGAATTTCTAAACATGTCTGGTTTTTAAAAAAATCCGTGAACCGGCACCCATGCGCCCACTAGACTTGGTCTCTATATATCATGTTTTAATATATTTTTAGAAGGTATTAATTATAATACCTTCTAGAAACTAGTAGAATCACTGATGGTCATATATTTACAAATAATATCTTAATATTTATACAACAATGTAAAAAAGTATTTATTAAATAGTATTTTATATTTTTAAATCGATTTTATATGATATAATGCAATAGTATTATATTGATGATGAAAATAAATTGCGCTCTGGTCTAGCCTACATCTATATCAAAATTATGGTCCAGCCAAAATTTATTAGTCCCTCCCGATGAAGTACGCAAATTATTTTTTTAAAATGATCCCGCCAAACGTATTGGTTCTGGCTTGATATCCGGCCTACTTTTGCAAAATCTATTTAATATATTTTTCACTAAAATTTATAATATCTATGAGGGAGGGACATAGTAAGAAATTATTCCAATTTATTAAAAAATACCTAGATTTAGATATTAAAGACGAGAAATTATTAAATATATTATGATTTATAAATTTAATGTTTAAATTTCAGGCATCTTCATTATATGCAGTGAATTAAAATGAAAGTAAAAAAAATGAAGTCACAATGACTTTCCTCAAAAGATATAGATATAAATAATGATATATTTACCTCTTTCTGGATATATAAATCATCTAATGAGTTATTTCTATTTTGCTTAGCATAAATGTATAGTGATTTTGGACTCCTCTAGATTCTCCAGTTCATTGCTAAGGGTCTTCCAAATTTCAGCTGACGAAGAATTAAGTCCCATATATATTTCATTTCTATATTTCTGGAATAAGGCTTTTATTAATTTGAATGGCACGGCAGGTTGTTTACCTGGTGCCATTATAACCTAAATAATAAATATAAATATAATATATATATTATATTATTACTTGAAAGTTAGCTCCGTGAAGTTGGCAGAACGTTGAAAGTTTATTTTAATTATATTTTAAAATAATTTTAATACTGACTGAATTCACCACATGTGCTTAAAAATCATTATAAGATGGAGGTGGGGGGGGGGGGGTTATTTTAAAATGATTTTGTTGGAAAGATTTAATTATATCATTGAAAGTTTATATTTTAATTATAAAAAAATTTTAAAATAATTTTAATACTGACTGAATTCACCACATGTGCTTAAAAATCATTATAAGATGGAGGGGGGGGGGGGTATTTTAAAATGATTTTGTTGGAAAGATCTAATTATATCATACGGTAAATTTAAAATAAAATAAACAACAAAAAAATAAGATCACTTCAAAAAGTCACATTTTACAGTGTTATAGTTATGATTTAATGAAACATGTTGACGATTATATGTTTTGGTATACAGTGAAACGAGTGTTATAAAAAGGGGTAAATAAATATAATAAAATTTTATTTTAATTTAATACATATAAAGTAATTAATTAATAAGATTAATGTTGAAAAGAAATGTGTTGGAAATTTAATAAAAAATAAAAAAAATGTGTTATAGTAAAAGAATATTTAATTTACTAATTTTTTAAATTTTTCTTAAATATGTAAAAAAATATTTATTAATTTTTTACATTTTTCTTAAATAAAAAAAAATGTTATAAAAAAAGGTAAAAAAAAACTTCCCGGAAAAAAAACCCCGGAAAAAAAAATCTCAGAATAAAAAAAATCCCAGAAAAAACAACCCCATAGATAATAAACCCCCGGAAAAAACTAAAAAAAATTTTTCAATTTATATTTTTCTTCCCATTTTTGTTTTAACATTTAAAATCTTTATTTTTCTGATGTTTTCTCAATTTTTTTCTAAAAAAAATATATATGATTCAAAATAACTAATTTTTAAGATACGGGAAACGCCAGTACTATAAGAGCAAAATAATTCTGGATATTTAAATTATTTCCAATTCTAAAATATAAAAACTGAACCGGTTTAACTTTTTTTTATAAAAGTTCTTTTTACTCCTTCAAAAAATAATTATATAGGTTCGGTTACGGTTCAGATATTTATAATGGTTGGTTCACTCCGGGTCCCTGATTTATATAAACCTTATTTTAATTTTATACATAATGATCGGAAAAAACTTGAAAAATAAAATTTTTTAATAAATGTAAATGCCATTCTTATTTTTCTATAGAAAGGTGCTAATCGGAAGAACGAAATATAAAAATTAACAACCTAATAAGAAAATTTAGTTTACAAATATCAAACCAATAAAAAATATTTATTTTTTATTGAAATTTTTTTATTTGAAATATTCTCTTATTTTATTACATTGAGTTTTATGTAAAGTGCTTGTAACAATTTTATTATGAATATATATATACCTGCGATGGTGAATGAATATGATCCATAGTGTTGTTAAACGGCTCGATTTGAGCTGATTTTTAAAAACGGTTAACTCAATATTTAAGCCAGAAAAATTTTATGCAAAATTGAAGATTTTTGTCATTGATAGCACAGGTTTATACATCGATTAGCGAAGTCTCGAAGCTTAGTTTGCTCATAACTCACTAGCCGTTAATTCTGCTGATATGCCGTTTAAAGATTCTTAATGTTCAATTAAAGGGCTACACATTGGCATAAGTATCGCTAATTGCACCTCACATTTACAAAGAATTCCGCTTATTTCCGCTTCTCAAATAAATAAATATAACTCGGTTACGGTTAATGATACGGATATCCCGTTTTGAGAATATTAAAGCACAAATTGAATACTAAATAATTGCCAAGTTTCAAAAGTTATTTTTAATTTTTTTCGGTTTTGGCAAAGTGCCAACACTTTCTTATTTTGCTCATAACTCACTAGCCGTTAATTCTGCTGATATGCAGTTTAAAATTCTTAATGTTCAATTAAAGGGCTACACGCTTGCATAAGTATCGCTAATTGCAACTCATATTTACAAAGAATTCCGCTTATTTCCGCTTCTCAAATAAATAAATACAACTCGGTTACGGTTAATGATACGGATATCCCGTTTTGAGAATATTAAAGCACAAATTGTAAACTAATTAATTGCCAAGTTTCAAAAGGTAATCTAATTTATTTTCGGTTTTGGCAACACTTTCTTATTTTGCTCATAACTCACGAGCATTTGATTCTGCTGATGTCCGGATAGAAGTGCAATTAGGTTCAATTAAGGCTCTAAATAATCATAATTTTTAATTGCACCTCAAGTCGTTCTGCCAACTTCAAGTTTTTTAAATAGGTATAGCTCGGTTACGGTTATTCATACGGATATCCGGGTTTGAGAATATTAAAGGGTAAATCAAATACTATATTATTGTTAAGTTTCAAAAAAGAATTTCTTTTATTTTCGGTTTTGGCAAAGTGCCAACACTTTCTTATTTTGCTCCTAAGTCCGGATAGAAGTGCAATTAAGACTCTAAATAATGGCGTAACTTTTGTTAATTGCACCTCAAGTCGTTCTGCCAGCATCAAAATTTCACACTTTCCTTATTTTACTCATAACTCACGAACGGTTCATTCTGCTGATGTTCGGATAGAAGTGCAATTAAAGCTCTAAATAATGACATCCATTTTGTCAATTGCACCTCAAGTCGTTCTGCCAACTTCACGGAGCTGCTAAACTGTATCAATTATAAAATCAACAATAACTTTATCAGCTAATTTCTGAGAAATATTGGCATTTGGATTATTAATTAATTTGGTTTGAATTAGTTTTTTAGAGTGGCCTATACCAAAATTATTTAAATGTTTCTCCATTTCCTTAAAGCTTATGTTATGAACACTATAAAATAAATACTATTAGAATGAAAAATGACAATTTGCCTTTTGGTGTTTCTTGAGGTTATAGCTGGATTGATTTGAGGAAATATTTTTTTTACATTTTAAACAAATAAATTTGAAGCTAGTTTTGATTTTTATATTTATTTTAAAAAATTTCTAGGGAATGGGAAATTTTTATTATAGCTATTAAGAACATTTTCTTCCCTGGTACTTTCCATTTCATTAATATCATTGTCTGAATCACTTTCAACGATTTGGATATCCATAGGCGATGACATTTTAAATTATTAACCAGAGATTTAGGTTTAAAATACAAATGAAAATATAAATTACAAATTGAAAATATATTTCAATTTCAAAATTAAATATAATTATGATATTATATTTAAATTTTCATGTTTATACTTACCTTCATTATATTTTTTAAAAGTAGTCAAAAAAAGTAGCTGCTATTAGCTATAATAGCTACCAAAAAACGCGCTACTTTAACAACTCTGATTTTTAGTCATAGGTGTCCCTTTTCAATCTAAATATGTAGGATAAAGGGCATTATGCTTTTGAAAAGAGGCACTGTGGCCAAAAATCACTGTATATAATAATTTTAACATTATAATTAATAAGAAAAAATTTATCATTAGATAGATACCATTTATACTAGTCTAATTTTTATTCAATCAAAGTTTCAATTTCTGTGTCATTTAAAAAAAATAAAATAAACCAAATGAACGAGTTAATACATCATAATAAATTTTAATTTCACCAATGAATACCTTTATAATAATAAAATTTACACAAGTACAATATTATGAATTATAAAAATTTGTGCAACATTAAAACATCTTTAAATTTTGCGCAAAATCAAAAATTCAGTTATTTATAAATTATCATATATAATCCATTTTCAAGAGAATGTAAAATTCAGTGGAAGCTATGATAATGGCACTAATAAGACCACTCAAGAGTTGACAAACTAAGCATTTACCATCCGAAAGGTAACGAAAAGCTAGGAAGGCAAAAGCAAAGGTGCCAACTATGCTAAAAATATAGTTCATGATCACAAATATATCGTTTGATATAAACTTGGGATTGATGTCTTTATGAGTTTCAGGGGGCAATATATTTTTGACCATCCTCTTATACCGAGAATTTTCTATTTCATTTCTCAATTTCGTCATTCTTTTTTGATAGTTATCGTCAGATTTACTATCTTTTTCTTTGTTGCCCTGATATAATTTTTCTGCCAAAGATGACATAGCATTACATTTTAGAGAAGAACTTTGAATTAAATGATGCAAGTGAGTTTTTTCCGTGAGAGGATTAGAACAAATATCACATTTGCTACCGTGATATATTTCAAGAAGTGTTTTATAAGGTATTCTTTGTAGAGAATAAGAATTATCATCTATATTCATTTTATTTGTCGCAAATATTAAGGAATGACTACGTGTTAATGTTCTTATCTCCAGATTAAGATGAGGACATTTGAGAATCTCCTCAAAATAATTAAACATAAAAGGCGTTACTTCAAAATTTAAAAGCATTTTTTTAAAAAAATAAAAGTTTTACTTATAAAACAAAAAAAGGGATGTGAAAAAAGCAAAATTTATCAGAATATAATTGGGGTGGGTTAATTATCTTAAAATTAAAAGTGATAAAAAAATCAAGTTCTTCCTATCTCACACCTTCAGTAACTTTTCAACAATTTTTTCCACCGATGATTTATCCTTTTCTAAATTATTCACCAATGTTTTGGAGTGTTGTATCCGTGTTTCTAGTTCGGTTCGGAGTTCCTTTTTGGGAGTGTGTAAATAAAATTTTCCAACAGCCAAGTATAAATTGGTTGAGCTGGTGAGGGGAGCTATTTCTTGCAAGGTTAATTCCTCACTTTGTATATTGTAATTCGCGATGTTGATTGTGTTTATTATTTCATTCAATTTTTGTTTGAGCACCAATTTCCTTTCGTAATCTTTGATTTCCAAGTTCATAATCAAGTAGCCTGTCTGGATTAGTAAAATTTTAACTTAATTATTTTTATAAATAATAAAATGATAAATTGTCTATAAAAACTAAAAAGATAAATAATTGTGGGTTGAAATACAGTATTAGCATTTTCTAAAAATGATTTTCTCTTAAATAATTACATTATTACAATTACCATTTTTGCATGTTTTTATATATTATATTTAAGACAAACTTGATGTAAATATTATAAAAATTTAAAAATTCCAAAAAAACCTTTATTTTTATAAAAATATAACCAAGCTGAAACCTTCTCAAATTTAATCAGTTAAATCATAGCCAAACCATAAACTTTTGCCACTAAACTATAACATTTTAAATAGTTCAGATGACTGCTATTTTTATTTTAAGATTCCATATTTAAAATGAATGTTTATTAAATATAATGTTTCATTACATCAAGAGTCTCATTATATCAAGATAAGTCAAATAAAAATTTAGAAGGCCCAAATTTATTTATCAATCATCTAAAATTTATATATAAACATCAAAAATTTATATATAAATATAAAATTTAATGTCCTTGATTTGTTTTTGTATTAAAAATTTATTGGTACAGAAAAATTTCTAACACAAGTAAAAAAATGTGAAGGTTATATACAGAAAATTTAAACTTATTTATGTTATAATGAACATATGGTAAATATATGATATTTATTCCTAATTTCTATCCGAATATCTATGAAGGAAAGATGGAAATTATTAAACCTTATCTTATTTAGCACGTTTGTCATAGACCTGCCCAAAATGAGCGAAGGTGTGCCAATTTTTTTCTCAAGGATACCTATCAACAAAGCTTGTACCCAGTTGTAATTTAACAAAAATGAGTAGAACTTACCCTTTTTATTTTATAATTGTTAAATATATTATAAATGTTTAAATTATTTTTCGTACTTTTTCTTTTTGTAAAATATATTTGTATGATCTTTAACAACTTATCGTACTTTTCTTTTTAATATTAAATTAACTTTTATCAAAGTAACAAAGAAATTGTAAAATGTACATATGTATATTGCTAAAATAATAATACATACAGTCAAAACGTTTGATTGCATATCGCTTAAGTGCAAAAACTTTTAGATGCGAAAAAACCCAGCGATTTTGATAAATTTTACTATGGTATAATGTTAAATACCATAGTAATTGTGAATCGGTTAATTGCGAAATATCGGATAATTGCATTTTTCAGGTTCCATTTATATGACAATATTATTAAATTAATCGGATAAGTGAAAAAATAAAAATTTATCGAAAATAATTATTCATCATTTTTTTTATTTAACCTTTTTCCATTCATTCATTTATTACCACGCCAGATATTAATATAAAATGGTAAAAAAATCATTCCAAGCATTAACCCTGAAGCATTAAAAAGAAATAATTGATAAATTAAACACTACATCAAAAACACAAATAGCATCAAATTACAATTGCCACGTCTCGATTATCTACCGTTATGAAGAAAATATATGCTCACAATTTCTAAGGAATAAACCTCCTACAACTAAAAGAGTTAGAATGAGTTGTTACCCAAAGACAGAAGCAGCTTTATTGGTTTGGTTAACCCAAATGCGAAGTAAAAATTGCAGTCTAAAGTGATTTTAGAAAAAGCTATGTTTTTTAGCCAAACATTCAATGAAGGTAATTATAAGTTTTTATTATATATATATATAAATTATAGGCATTCCTACTAGCAGCTGGTTGCAGAGATTTAGGAAAAGACAGAATATAAATTTTCATAATGTTTGCAATGAAAAGGGGAGTGCAGATATTATTAATGCAAATGAATGGAGCAGAAATACACTCCCATCTCTGATTAAAGATTATCAAAGGAGTAATATTTACAATTGTGATGAGACAGGACTATACTACCGAACATTACCAAAGGGCACAATGGAATTTAGTGGAACTCAACCACTGGGCTTCAAACCAGACAAGGAAAAGGTCACAGTTCTATTTATCATAAATGGGGATGGATCTGATAAAAAGTTATATGTTGTAGGGAAATTTAAAAACCCTAGGTGCTTTAAAAATAAAAAATTACCAGTAAAATACTACTCCAATAAAAGCAGCTGGATGACAACCACAACTTTTAAAGATATCCTAAGAGAATGGGATTCCTCATTAGTGAAGAAAATTTTATTGTTTTGTGACAATGCATCTTGTCACAAAACAAAATTAACATTTAACAATATAAAATTAATTTTTTTACCAGCAAATACAAAATCATTAATTCAACCTTTGGACATGGGTGCAATTAGATCCTTAAAATGTCATTATAGAAAGGGTATCATGAGAAAAATGATAACATTGATGGAAGGAAATGACACCACCTCTTTTTATAAAAGATTTACACTTTATGATAGCCTCTATCTTATAAAATTTGCATGGGGTGAGGTGACAAGTACCACAATAAAATGTTTTATTGAAGCTAAATTTTTTGATAAGTCTATGGCATTTGATTGGGAATCGGAGGATGATATAGCACTAACTGACAACGAAGAAGATGAATTTGATCCCATATTTGATGAATATGCGTTACACGATGATGATGCTAGCTGCCATGGAATTTTGGATGATCAGGATATTTGTAATCAGATAAGATTAGAGTTGGAAGGTTTAATTACTTAAAATTTTAATTAATCTTATTTTTTATAGAAGGTTATGAAAGCTCCGAGAATGACGAAGGGAACCTAGAGATATCTGATCATTTAATTACAAAAAATCACGCTCTTAATGGTTATTATACTTTTCTTGAATATGCTCATGAACATCTAAGGGATCAAGATTCACTGCTAGAGAATATAGTGGAAAAAGAATTATTTACTCCAGAGTCTAGCCAAACTCTTATCAGAAAATATTTTTATTAAATCTTACATTACTTTATAATAATTGTGATGCATGTATAATAAAATTAGTTCAAATAAAATCTTATGTTAACAAAGCATTAATAAACTTTCATTCCAGCATGGTCTGTTAATACATTTACATTTATAATATTAGAATTCATAAGATTTGAATAGGCACAGGATTTTAAATCTATTATCATGTGAATGAAAACAAAACACTTAATAAACTTTAATTCTTTTATATTAATCTTATTGTTTCCAGTTTTTTAGGCAAAATATTTTAAAATTTGGCTTTAATAATAAATTAGAATTTAAAAAGTGATAATATATTTGTGTAAAATTATATTTCAGTAAATTTAATGAAGGTAAAATGACAAAGGTAGTTAAAATTAATGGAAATAAATATTAGGGTATTGTAAAGGAAAAAATGTTATTATCTTCCACAAAAGCTTTTTTTTTAATTCTTACATATCTTAAATAAAAAATGAGATAAAATCAAGTAAACAAATTTAATTAAAATAATTTTATTCAATAAAAAATAATTTATTAACAACTATAATGCTAATACATAAATATAATACATAAATAATTACAATCATTTTATAATTAAAAGTCTTGTTTTCTTTGTTCCTTTCTGTCTATAATCATGTCTAGATCTAAAGAAAATATAAATATATATATCAAAATATATCACATTACTTTCAAGCAGGGGCATCGCTATCCTTTACAATCTCAGGGGGCTCAACTAAAAAAATTTTATGGGGGGCGAAAATTACTAAACTCTTGAAGGATTATTCTTATTTTCATATTTTGTTTTTTATATTATACGTACAAAATAAACTAGAATATAAATAATTAAGACTAGAATATTGATCATTAAGACTAGAATATAAATATCATTAAGACTAGAATATAAATATCATTAAGACTAGAATATAAATATCATTAAGACTAGAATATAAATATCATTAAGACTAGAATATAAATAATTAAGACTAGAATATAAATAATTAAAACTAGAATATAAATAATTAAAACAATACATTTTTACAAATTTTTCAATACAAAATCTATTTACTACAGTATAAAGTATTTTTAATTGCTGATATAAAAAATTTCGCGTCTAAAGAATTACAAGTGATAAAACCGATTAATTAATTCATACATATGCCTCAATTGTTAATGTTTTTAAAAACCCCATAAGGCAATATAATTCTAAGCAACTAACATTAACAAAAGGTCATGAAACTAATATAACTCTCTCTTACCATTTTAGACAAAGTTTTATAGAATGGACTAATAAGGAAAAATTTATAGGACTAACCAAATCAACAATTCTTGAAGAAGAGAATATAAACGACCAATCCAAATCATAAAACTATATGGTGGTTAGAGCTTCCTCTTAGATGACATGATGGAAGCTAGATAAGTAATCGAGAAAATTATTGTGAGATATTAAATTTCTAAAAAATTATCTTCCATTTTTCATCCTATATAAACTACTGGACAGTTGATCATTGTTGCTCATCTTAATTATGCAATCATATGCTCTCAGCAGCTGTAGTAATAATCTTAAATTACATAGCCACACAAATAATAGATGCTGGTTAATTTGCAGTCATAGCCATGACATGCACGATGTTAACTCATATCAAAATCTAGTATATTAATTTTAAAATGTATTTCATTTCAGTGTATTTATTTTTGTAAATATAATATATAAAAAGTAATATTCCAATTATAGTGTCCATTTTTCAAAAATATATATAAATAAGCAAACTATTCTAAATTTATTTAGCATTTTTATTAAAATATAGTTTATTATTAAGTTAGGATAAACAAATAAATATATAATTATCAAATTATGAAAGAATGATTGAGTAAACAATTTAGCCAATATTATCTTTATTAATGTAAAAAGAATAATAGTGTATGATTTTTTAAGATATTGACTATTTATATAGAAAATATTTACTATGTTTTATTTAGCTAATATTTTGACATCACCTTATGTGATTATAATAGAAAAATTTAAAAAAAATTTTCCATTTCTAGTGTCCTGCTCCTGAAAAGTGAAAATATATTGTAAAGCAATTTTTGCTTAACTTGAAAACTAAAGAAATCAATATTGTTTAATACTCTGGTGAAAAATGACTTAAATAGAAATTCTATAGAAATTAGGCAAATTTGGGAGGAAATAGGAAAAACATATAACTTCAATTATGATCAAGTGAAAAAGAAACCTTCCATTAAAATAGATCATTAACTAAGAAATTTTTATTTTTTAAAACTTAAATGTCCAAAGTGTTTTGTTATTAATTTGTGAAAATTTTAAGGATTTTTTCAAAACATTTTGGACACAGACTTATATATAAATTTATTTACCTATTTTCTTTCTTTTAACATTTTTTTTTTCAATATTTATATCTTTTAAAACTACAATTAATCGTCTTTCAACTAAATCAAAGTTTGAATTTTAAAAACTGTATAAAATATACTTTGTTCATCACCAGCTTTATTATCGAATCCTCTTCTTTGGTCCTCAAAATTTTTGCTACTTTTATCTTTAGTTTTCTTCATAAAGTCTTTAATGCTTAAATTTTTAAATCGCAAAGTCATTTTATTTAAATAGTGATTTTAAACTCGGCTTACAATATTAAATTTGTTAATTTTCAATTAATAAATCTTTATATTTATTTAATTAGGGTTATATAATAATTTAATTAATAAAAATCAATTAAACTTCAACTGTTAATGCTAAATTGATATTTAAACATTATGCATGGTATTGATATTTTATTTTTAACAAAGAATTTGATTGCAAGCTGA